AGTTACATTTTCTTACTGTTTCTCCAGTGGTATTTACCTCTACACATTATCAAACCAAACGCACATCCTGACAAACAGATGCATTTGTGCACTTCTATTATTATTATTAACTTCAGCCACATGTGGCGGTAGAGGAGCCTACTGCACAGAACAGACCTGTGTCAACACTGGAACATACATTTTGATGAGTTTGCTTTGCATTTCGTCTTGCTCTTCTAATCAGCGCATTGAGGAGGAGCGTGTGTGTTTGTGATGTGCCGCACAGTATCCACGGATTCTAAATGACGCACAGGCTGCAGAGAGACGCTCCCGCACGCGGATACAAGGTTTTTTTTGCTAACAGCAGCGGTCGTAATGAAATATGATCACACTTGTCGAGTGTCAGACCCCGAGTCAGAGATAAGACCGAGTCCAAACGCGAGACCTGAGACGAGTACTGCGACACTGCGATCTACCCACACTAGCTTGGAGATCGACTGATAGATCACGATCAGTGTATTGGACACCACTGCACATGAATCAACAGTGATGAGCCTGTGAGCCGGAGCTGTTCGCAAGGCGGCAGCTGAAAGTTTACCTCAGCTCACTGCCTCATTCATTAAAGTAAAAAGCAAAGTTGTAACATTTAAATCCACATGGAAATGGAGACACAGAGGTGAAAACAAACAACAATGATGGGCAGTTTACCCAGTCCTAACCTGTAAGACAGGTGAAAGAAACAGCGCTCAGACACCGCAGTTTATGTGGCAAAGTTATTACTGAAGTGAGCACGGGACTCCAGTCGCAGCCCAAGTCGCGTGAATAAATGACCATCTTAAGTAGCCATGTGCGCTAGAGATACGCGGATTGCGGTTACAACCGCGGTATCCGCGGTTAATCCGCGGGTCGGGCGGATGATGTGATGAAAAATTATATTTTAATTAAATTCGGGCGGGTGGCGGTTTAACTACTAAAAAAAAAATTTATATATAATATATATATATATATATATATATATATATATTTTTTTTTTTTTAAAGTTATTGTTAGTATTGTTACCTACATCTGAAAAGACGAGTCTCATTGTCTATGCTTGTAGTATGAAGTGTACGTCATATCCTTAATTAGCCCATTTGACCTTTTTTTTATGTTCTGAAGGTTCAGGTTGTGTCGGGTTATTGATGCCTAAGGTTTAGAGGCACATATTATATGCAGTTTATTTTATTATTTCTAATTTATTTCAGCTGTTTGCCAACACGTAAGTGGCTATAGGGCCATATTTATTTAGTTATGCTTTTTTTTGTTTTTGTTTCGATATCAGATATATTTTAAAACACGCAGACATTATAGCGTCGACTGCCACTCGGGGGATTTAAAACTTAAAGAAAGACCGATGGAGTGAGGCTATGACTTTGAAATAACATCGGGCAATGGCAGAATGTTCAGAATGTAACAACATCCAACACGAAGGCAAGAAGGTTCAAAAATAGCCTAGTTGGAAAACGTTGTCAATTAATTAGCTGCGCAAGAAAACCAGGTAAGTCTGGGGTTGTTACGGACAATTAAGAATGTGAACATACACGCTGAGACAATTTTGGAATGAATGAGCTATAGAGTTTGCATTTTTATCGAGGCTCCTTAGTTTGTTTGCTGTATGATTGTTCTAAAATCTAAAATCAATGGGCGGATGGCGGCGGGTGCGGTTTTGAAAACCTTCGGTGCAAAATGGACAGCGGGCGGATGATGAGTTTTGTGTCGCGGTTGTGGATGAAAAAATAGCCCATCCGCGCATCTCTAATGTGGCCATTGTGTATGGAGTGAATAAAGTAGCAATGAGTTGCCATATTAAGTAGCTATGTGCACATTCTGTAAATTATGCCATGTACACTTAAAATGCTAAAGTGATTTTTATTTTTTTTTTTAAACTGGTGAAATTTATACTGGGGCACTACAGATCAATACTGGGGCATGTGCCCCAGTGAAATCTGTCTGGCGACGGCAATGGCTCAGTGGTTTGAGTCTCACTTGGCCAAAATTCTGTGGTATCGTTGCCTACTGTGTGGTATGTGTGTGAGTGTTGGTGGCTGGAAGGGCAACCAAGCTGCTGTCAGTCTGCCTCAGGGCAGCTGTGGCTACACACCAGGTGCGGAGTACATAATGTGTCAAAAATCTTCTTCTTATTATTATTTACATGAATTATTATTATTATTATTATTATTACAACAACAACAATAATAAAAAATATATATAATAATAATAGTAGTAGTAGTCGTTTCCACACTGGTGGTAAGTCTGTCATGGGCCCCTTATACAAAGAGATTGTTAGTGTGACAGCAGTCTCCCTCCCCAGTACTGACCAGGCCCTGCTACTTACTTATTATCTCAAAATATTGAGATAATATCTCGAAATAATTAGATAATATCTCAAAAAAAAAAAAAAAGGGAAAAAAAAAGAATTAATTATTATTTTGTCTTATTATTAGTTTTTTTTTTTACACTTACGGCTCAGGGCTTCCATAGACTTGTGCTGGGCACCTTTTCAACACATCATTTCTAAAACAAATGTTCCTAGATCTATAACAGGACGCCTATATACAATTCAGGAGTGTTACACCAAAACATCTGAAAGTTTCCTCAAAGAGGAATACTGTTAACTATTTACAATAGTTGAGTTATCAAATCAAGCATTTTGTTGAGTTTAAGCTGTGTGTCAAATATTCAGTGTTTTCTTAGCTTCTGAAAGTGTCTTCATAGTCCATGAATGCTCTGCATGTTTGCAGACACCACATTTTCAAAAAATCATTTTGCAAAAATAAGGCAGAACACCATCATCACCAAATATGCTCCTCTAACCTCAGGCCTCACTGAGCTTCATTTGACTGGAGCCGAATGTTATGGGTGACGACCTGCTCCCTTACTCCACTTCTTTATACGCTCTGTGGGTTAGGCAAGTTTTTCCACTGTGCAAGGCTGTTTGAGGGTCTGAAAAGGCCTCCCCGAGGGTCCAGCCCTGATCACCCTTTTGTTTACTGAAAAACTGTAATTGTGCTCAGTAATTAACTTTAACTGTACCAAAGTGCTTCAAGTGCACCGGTGTGGAGCAGAGACAGTGGAAGAGCCTGGTTCCACGTGCTGTACAGCGTGAGCTGTGCTACAAGCCGCTTTTACAGGACGTGGGCCGACTGCAGCCTGCTGCACATGAGATCTGAAACCTGGTGAATGGTCATAGTTTTATACAGCAGTTTTCCACCTTCAAGGCTTTCAAAGCCCTTTACAACAAGGAACCACTCACCCATTCACACACACACACCAGTGTACGCAGACACTAGGATGAGGCAGGTTAAATGTCTTGCCCAAGGACACGACGACAGCATTCATCTGTGGGAGCTGGAATCTCACCGCCAACCTGTGGGTCAGTGAACGCTCTACCAACTGAGCTACTGCCACCCGTCCATAAAAACAGCAAGGACAAGCTGAGTGACCCCAAACCTCCTCTGTACCTCTGAAGCCCAGGGGCTTGAGTTCAACCAGGACAGAAGGAGAATGTGTGTGATAATTTCATCACAGTGTGTGTCATGAACGACCTTTTCTCAAGTACAACTACAATGCAACTGAAACTGCTGTGTGGCATCAAACATATTCAAGGTTTGAGTGTGTGGCTCCTCCTCATCTGGCAAATAGTCCAAAAACATCTTTAAAATGATGAACTTTCAGTACTAATTGTTTAATGATAATACAAACCCAGATTATCTTCAATAAAGCACAATCTCTGTTCAAAGAATAACAAAAACAAAGCAGCAACAAGCAGCACAAATGTTGTGAAGAAATGCTAAGTGGGCTAAAAAAAAAAAAAAAAAAGGATGAGATTGTTGGAAAAAAGATTCATCATTCACGAAAAAGTCATTTTCACATGAACAGAGGAATAAATCTTGTGCTAAAACGGTAAAGGTAAAGCAGTGGTCCAGTCCAGTCTGTTGTGTTCCAGGTTGGAGAGGCTCAGTGCGTGCGCTCTGCAGACTGAAGAGCGCCGCGGGTAAAACCAGGAGAAAGTCACGCTGGGGAGTCCCCGGGGGCCCGTGGTGCCCTGTGCGGTCCCGTAGCGCGCTGTCCTCGTTCTCTTCGGCCGTCGCTGAGCAGACTCTCGGGGAGATAGCGCAGAGCAGGATGTGGCGTCTTTAAGAGTTCAGAAACTTGAAACCGTGTTTGCGCAACAATCAGTGCGGCTCCCAGCCGCCAAAGTGTCTAGACTGGCACATGATGGCGGGAATCAACCAATGGCTCCACAGCTTTGCTCTGGGGCCCACAGACCGAGAGAGTCCGGGGAGAGAGTGCGTCAAGCTCGCTGCGGCACGGGCGCACAGGAACCAAGACTTCCACAATAAAAGCGTTTTTCTCCACCACTACTTCACTGTTCTTTCTCTTCTGTAACTTTGGACTGAACCAGACACTTTAAAGGACAATTTATAACATCTAACGTAGACCACTTAAAGTGTGCCTGTTAGCCTGTGTACATCTGTGTGAAATGTGATATTACATTTCATTTGATTTGAAAAGGACTTTTCCATGAAATCCAAAGTACAATAAGTCATGTCTACTTAACCAACGAGGCCTACGAACAAAGAGGTTTGTTTTACAGCAGCCTGAGATTTGCATCCCATCCCAAGACTTGTGCATTAGTATTAAAAAAAAATCTAGATCTACAGGTACTTGACTGGCAGCAGGCTGCTGTGTGTGTGACGCTGCTCGCAAATCCGTCTCCAACACAAACTCCCGGAAGTGTCTTATTGTGACCGGCCTGGCCTCCCGTTGGAGCACAGCAGCGGCGTCTTGACACCGCGTCAATGTGTGCGTGTGTGCGTATGTATGAGTGTGTGCGAGTGTGTGTGTGTGTGTGTGTGTGCGCGCGCGTATGTGTGTGTATGTGTGCGTGTGTGTGGAGCTGTGCGCGTGCGTGAGGAGCGGTGCGTGTCCGAGGGGACTGTGGGGGAGTGGAGACTGGAGTCATTCCTGCTCTCTTTAAAACTACTTGTGAGCACGGAGCCCGTCCTGGAGCTTAGCCCCGGGTCTCCACATCTCTGCGCCGTGACAGGATTACCGCGGCCGCTCTGACACACCAAACACACGGGCTGAACGCGGATGAGTTACTGGGCTGAAGGGAGGCTTCGGAAAGTGCAGCTTCGTTAAGTGGATAAACTTTTGGATGAAGAGTGTGCGCGTCTGTTTTCGCTGTGGGTGAATGTAAACCGATCCCGCTTGGGTCTAACTATGGTCCGGGGACTGTCTGCGGGATTTCCACGGAGTTATGGAGCAGCTTCTCAAACTTGTGCGCTGATTGTGATCGCTCTCGCGGCGCACTGAGCGCTGGCTGCATGTAGCAGCAGAGCGGGCTCCTGGAGCTCTGTAACGCCGCATATGCGTGACTCTGTGGGCTCTGTCTAATGCTGTGGGACACCCATCACACTGCGAGCCCCCACGGCGCGATCTGTGCGCGCCGTGCACACAGGCAGAGCGTGGGGCGACGGGTCTAATCCATGTGGAGGACTGTGTAGGTTGTCTATGTTCAAGACGAAACGTGCGTCTCTTGTACGGCGACTCTGGAGAAGCCGTGTGGTCAGCGAGAGCGGCGCGCGGGATGGAGCCTCGCAGGCTGATGGCACGCGCGGCGGACCGTGTGCAGAGCGGCGGCCGGTGACCCACGCGGAACCGGGGGATATGACGGAGAGCGGCGACAGGGACGAAGAGGAGCAAGAAGACGACCGAGGTGCCATGTGCGTCCAGCGACGGGTGACGTGCTGTCTGCTGGGGGACTGCTGCCTGCGGACGGCCACACAGGACGAGGCCGGAGCGGAGTGCGCTGAGCAGGGGCTGGCTGGCGCCACACACGCGTTTCTCAAAAGGCTCACGGAGCAGAGTCTGGACACCTTACTGCGGGCCGTGGAGAGCAGAGGGGGCGCGCCCGGAGAGTGCGTGCTGGTGCCCGGCCTGGACCTTCGGCTGGGGCCGCAGCTCGGCTCCCCGCAGTTTGTTACGTGCAGGACGTTCAGGTGGAGGGACCTGCAGCCTTCAGAGCGGCTCAAAGCGCTGTGCTTCTGCCAGAGCCACGGGCACGCGCATGGCACCAAGGTGTGCTGCAACCCGTACCACTACAGCCGCGTGTGCGCGCCAGGTGAGAAGCGCGTGGCAGGGGGGCATGAGGGGGCTGAGGAAGTCATTCACTTGTTTTGTTTTGGCATCACAAACAGGCTCCATATTTACGCACGCACACTGTTAGAGCGTCAGTGGGACATGGCACGGGCAGGTAGGCTCTGTCACGGGGAGAAACCAGGCAAGGCCAAACGGCCTGTGCTGCAGCATTAGCATATGTTAGCCCGGGGCTGAGTGAATACATCACAGCCTCACACTCTGTCTCTGTCTCTGTACCGTTTGTCCACTGCGTCCTTTTATCAGCTTTTACGGCCCGCGCCACGGTTTATGAGCGGGCCATAACTCTGCGTAACTTTGCTCCATGCAGGCTGTGATTTAGTTCTCCTTTTGGCATACCAAACACATTACACACATTTGAATTTGCGCAAAACTTTGCTTCCCACATCATCCAATTGAAGGTCGCTCTCAAGTTGCACTGGGCCTTTTTTTTCCTGACAGGAGGTCCTCCTCTTGTTATTTAGGTGAAGGAGTGCCGATAATATACAGTTTGCATAGCGCTGGCGCCAGACTGACGCTCTGGGTATCTGACTGAGGACTCCAGCAATTACTGGCTCTGCTCTTAAAGGGGCCGCAGCACAGACCACAGCACACTGCTGGAGGGACTAAACCACTGCATTCTCTGCTCTGTGCACAGCAGAAAAACACTTCAACAAAAGGAGAATTCATACATATGTAGGTTATTCTGTGCTATGGCCTATTCATTGTATGAAACGGGCTCTTTAGGAGACTGGAGTTTGACTCTTCATGTTTGGCTCTGTGACTGTGTTGGGGAGTGTACTGCCCTGTAGGAACTGTGCCTGTGGTTTGTGTAATCCCCAAAGAGACTGGAGACTCCAGTGTACACACCTGTAGAGACACACACCTATAGCTCACACACCTATAGCTCACACACCTACAGAGACACACACCTATAGAGACACACCTATAAAGACACACACCTATAGAGACACATATAGCTCACACACCTATAGAGACACACATCTATAGAGACGCACAGGCCTATACCTCACACTGTAGAAACACACATTATAGAGTCACATAGGCCTATAGCTCACACACTATAGAGACACACACTTATAGCTCACACTATAGAGTTTGTGTTAAAGTTATTCAAAGGAAACAACATAACACATTCAGTGGAGCTTAAGTGTTTGTACTAAACCTGAAGCTGTAACTACAGACTCAGCCTCAGGATCAGTACAAACATGCTCCTATTGAACTGACAGATCCTTCTCTGACAATGCACAGTGTGCTCTATGGGGCCCTTTGGACAATGCAAACCAGCACTGTCTGTGCCCATCAAACAGGCCAGTGTGCATGTCCCCTACAGCACAGGGGCCAGTCTGCATCTCAGCCTCAGCTGTCGACTTCAAACCTGGATCTTTGTAACTGATTGTTGTCTGTTTTTGTGTGCGCAGACTCTCCTCCTCCCCCGTACTCGCTGTCCCATTCACAAGAACACAAGGCTGCACTGGGTGAGTCCAATCACGCACACAAATGCACACACACACACACACGCACACACACACGCACACGCACGCACACACACACATAGAGCAGTAATCCACAGCAGACAGCAGGCGTCATTCTGGTATTTTTAGCCTTAAACGCAGCTCCAGTCTTTGAAGGTGCTCGTGTTCAAAGTTTCTTGGCATTTACCTGTCTTATTTATGTCTTTGGGGAAAACACGTAAGTGCATTTGGTTTAAAGGAAGACGACTTCAGATAAACAGAGCAGCCCCACTATAAACGTGTCAGCAGTAACCTCTGACATGCAGTAAGAGCAGAGCTGAGAGCGCAGACAGCATAAAGACCACAGCGATCAGTATGTGCAGTACAAAAAGCTGTTGAAGGGACAGCATTACACTGTTTTTATCTACTAGTCCTTTATAACGTTGTTTTGTCATCAAAAACAGACCTGGAGTTTTGTTTCATTCACATGTTTAACACACAGACCCTGTTTAGACTAGAGTTCTTCTAACAAACACTCTGTTCCACTTTGTGATTGTCATATGGTAATACAGGAAGTGCTCCACTGTGTTTTTAAACTTCATACACCTTCATTAGAATCATTACAAAAATCTGCAGACCTGGAATTACCATCTTAGAAGTTACATCTACCTTTTTGAAATTGTCTCACTTCTCAGTGCACACAGAGATGTTGTCGACTTTCTGTGGTAACGTTGATCTTGAATTTAAACCGTAACCTTTTATTTAATGGCCACATAAGGTGATTCTAGTATTGTAGAGTCAAACTGTTCAGTTTAGACTACAAATAGCTGTTACCTTTAAAATGCTGGAACAGAGCATTTGGAGCTTTGGAGATGTAGATAGTCTAATAATTCAAGGTTACTCAAATGTGTGAATGAAACAAAACACAACTCCAGGTCTGTTTATAACAATTTTATGACAATTTTAGCATATTTGAGCATAAAAGTCATATAATTCTGTGTAAAATAGGACCTTTGATGTCAAAGACACAAATATCAGTAGTGCTACAAAATATATCAAAATATATCAAAGATAAATCTGAAAGGAGCAAATCACTTTTACTCTTTGTTTAGTAGAGATGGGCAATTCCATTGGAATTTATAAACACACTTCCTGTGTTACCACATGACATCACAAGGTGGAACAGAGTGTTTTCCATTGGAGAGAACTCAGCCTAAATTTGCAGGATTTGTATGTTAAACATGTGAATGAAACAAAACACAACTCCAGGTTTGTTTGTGATGAGGAAACTACATTAGAACATAGATGAGAAAATCTTGTCATATGGGCCCTTCAATGTGTAAACTGCAATAGGTTTTGATTCTAAGGAATACACTTGATACTCAATGTCAATTTCAATTCTACAATGATAATTAAAAACATTCTATGTTTAGACACTACAATGTGATTTTCAAAATTTAAATGGTAGTACTTTGTTTACTATTCCCATGTGTCTTATATGTGTGTGATCCTCAGTGGTGCAGTAGGTTCATAGATGGTCCTTGTGTGTATATTAGCCTATGTGTCTATATGTAAGTCTATATGTATATAATAGTCTATGTTCTACTTGTTCTGATACAGCTCAACATCATTCTAAAACTATTCAGGGAAGGTTCATGTCTGTCCTGTGAGTGAAGACTTTTTAGAACCAATGCTTGTTCAGATGAGTTTGGATGTGAGTTTTAGGATCCATTAGTATCTCATTTTCAATACTTTTGACAACCCTACAACGCCCCCACCCCATTGTGTCCCATGACCTCCCATGCATTTCTACATAAAAATCCTGCGATCGTGCACTTACCTCTCGTAAAAGCTGAGGTATGTGGGTTGAAGGCGGGTGGGTGTGTAAAATGACTAGCTGTTTAAACTAGTGATTATGGCTGCTGTGGCCCGGGCTTGACTTAACCCCGCTGTTTCCTTTACATTCTCCAGACGCCCAAACGGTACCCGCTCCCCTCTCTGGACCCCTCTCCGGACCCCCGCCCACACCCACAGACTGCACAGGTAAGAGACCGAACAAACACACTGCGGGCAAACTTCGGGCACGTGCTTGTTCAGAAGACAGCCTCCATTTCTCCAAGTCTGTTCTTTTCAGCATTTGGGTGAATGTACTCAAAGCACAACCCAACAATAGCCATATCAGAGGTGGTAGAGAAGACAGAAATTGTACTCAAGTAAGAGTTACTTCTAAATAATATTACTAAAGTAGAAGTAGTGGTCCAAGAAATCAGTGGAGTACTGTCAGAGTAATATCTGAAGGGGTGCTGCAGGAAAAAGGAATGTTTAAATGATTTCATATTGTCACAGAAACCTTTTGTCACTTTAGACTTACTCACAGTGGGAAGAGGACCCAAATTTAGAGTATCGTTACTTCAATATAAGTATTACTCAAGTAGAAGTAAATTATTATTATATTATGCTGCTAGAAAAGTACTCTTAGAAGTACAATTTCTTTAAAAATTTACTCAAGTAAATCTAACTGAATACTACCATCTGTGAGCATACTTGGGTGTGTTTTGTAAATGTGAATGTCAGGTACTTCTGGATACTTCATTCTTGCAGTAGTTTGTAGTTTTAGAAGACCTTGTGGCCCCAAATGCAGTATCCACATCTTCAGTCTGTGTCCCTGAAATCTGAGTGGACCTATGCAAAGAATCGACAAAGACGAGGCACTACACACACTGCATTTATTTGGATGTGTTTAGTTTTTAGCTCAGTTTTCTCTCTAGACATATAAGCGTTAACTTTTACTACAGTAATCCAAACAGAAAAATGTTTGACTAGACTATTTCACCAAATCATCTTTAATCCACAGATCTTTAAGTCATTCCAGAGGCCATTCTCAGAACATATCTTAAAATGTACAGTGCGTTTACCCAATTTTTGTCAATGTATTTGGCAATCATTGTCCAGGACGTGCTCTGTTAGTATATAAGCTGGTTACCATGATGGCAAAACTCCACTCTGGCTTCAGATTTGTGAAAAGTGTTTAAAAAGTCACCACTGTGAATAATTAAAATGCCAGGAATGCCTTAGATAAGAGAGGAATCACTTTCTTTAAAATACACTAGTTCTGTAGTTCACATTTTTAAGACAGTAAAACATGTCCTGTCTCACTGAACTGATCACAAAAAAATGTTAACTTTATATTTATGGACTTGAGATTGCATGTTCTATTATGGTTTCAAAGGTTAGAGTTAGGGTTAGAGCACAGTGCTGGTGTAAAAGCTTTCACACTGGATGAAACGTGTGAAAACAAAGCACTTTCAAGTCTGGAGTTTGTGAGCAAGAATTTTACATCAGTCTCTGTTTCTGTTGCTCTTTGGTGGCCATTTTGATTTGTTCTTGTGTTGGTGAACAAACCACTATTGTAAAGATATTTTACAGTAGCTAGGATGAAATGCAAAGGTTAACGTGATAGTTATACTGGCCTATCAAAACTACAATAGTGTAGCTTAAGAGCTTCTTGATAGCAGATCAGAAGCACCATTTTTAAGTTGCATACTTCACACTTTGGCCTGTAGAGGAAGTATACACTTCTTTAGTTAGAGCAATGTTAGCAGCTGCAGGTTATTGCCAAAATGTGGTTTCTTACTAGAGCCTATGTGTGAATATTTTTAACATTTTCTCTCAAGTTACTGATTAGAACTACCCAGACAGAAAAGTCCTATTGTAGATCTGGTCTGGATCTGGTGGTATTAGGGGTAAAAAATGAGCATAAAAGGTCATAGTGTCTTTAATTCCCTTTGAAACCTGCTTTTGGTCACTTTGGAATAAGTATTTCACATTTTCTAACATAAGAGTTCTATATTTGTCTTAAAACTGTGATGGAGAAGTTCATATTTGTATCTGTGACACAACTAAAAGGGCAATATGCATACTACATTTTTGAGTGCTCAGAGAAGACAACTGTGAATGAATGGATTAATGAAACAAGCAAAATAAATGAAGCTCCAGGTCTGTTTCTGACAAGGGTACAAAAGCATCAGAAGTGAGTTTTTACCATCGTGTTGTCACAATACTAAAGATTTATACTCGAATTCGAATAGACTCAGTACTCAATACCCATTCTGATACCACAATGATAATAAGACCCTTCATTATCGAGGCAACAGAATGTGATTTTCAACATTAAATGATCATATTTTCCTTCCGGCCCTTTGGTTGACTCTGACCGGCTCGTTTCAACTCATTCGGAATTACAAAATAAACATAATTTATCATTTTACCTCATGCCTGGACTAAAGCTGCATTGCTTTTATTTTAGAGATATTTTTTTAAATGACATTTTTTGTAAGACAACCTCACTTTTTCATTGATCATTTCATTCATGGTTTCTCAATGTGAAGTCAGTTGGAAACAGAGTCGAAGGAGCTGGAAGTGCCTCCATGAACACTTCTGTTTGGAAAGTGGAGGACTGTGGGTTAACTATGTCCACTCATATACAGTCTATGCTTCCATAGTGTCCATGTGTGTTGTCTATGTGCTGATACTGTTCTGATACAGCTCAACATCATTCTTAAGCTTTTTTTTTTGTTGTACTGATGGCTGCTCAAATGTGTATCTAGTTTTGTTGTATCAACTTTTAGTATCGATTAGTATTTGATTTTTTTATACTTTTGGCATAAATGGGACCTGGGTACCTACACCTTGACTCTGACATCAAAGCGGCCGCGTTACTGTTCACTTGCCTTTTTCTCCTAATGACTAGCCAAAAGTTGAGCGCATAAAGCCCCTATTGTAGGAATGGGATTGTGGTGTGTGTGTGTATGTGTGTGTGTGTGTGTGTGTGTGTGGGGGGGGGGGGGGGCTATCTTGATACCGTGTAGCCTTTCCGTCTCCACCCCCCTCCCTGTACTTTCTTCTTGTGTTTTCCCCACTGCAAAATATTTGACTGAGGCTAAAGCTGCAATAAGATCCGTGCGCATACTCCCGCTCACTGGCCCGGCCCATCCCCCCTCTGCTGCTGCTTTCGCCTCTTTCTTCCCTCAAATCCCTCCATTCCTCTTGGCAGTGGAGCAGTGGAAAGAGGCTGGCATTCGGGTCGGGGGGAGCAGTGACGAGGCTGTGTGTGTGTGTGTGTCTGTGGAGTCGACGGGGGAGGGAAGGGGGGGGCAGAGAGGTTCGGGTGGGCCCAAGTTTAGACAGGAAACACTCCCCACTCTGGATGATGAAACTAAAGCTTTATTTGTTTACGCGCTGGGGTCCTCCGAGCGCCAGAGAGAAAAGTCCTCCCAGGTTGAGAGTGGCTCGGGAAGGGGGGATGGTGGTGTTGAAACGTGAATGGGTGCACCTATGAAGGCTGGGAAGTAGCGCGGTGACGGTAACTGGGAGTAGCGTGAGGACAAAATGCCAAATTGGAAGCAGATTTTTATAACAGACAGGGAGGGCATTGGGTTGGTGAAAAACGCTTGGATGTTTCTGGAAAAGTTAAAAGGACACAGTCTTTTTTTCCAATTGAGAGCTAGTAAACAAACATGACCCCAAGCTCCTTCTTTCGGTACACACAACTTGCATTAGGCGACTTTATGTTTAGGCTAAGGATGTCAAAAAATCTGACACTATTCAGTACTAAAACTTGTATCAAAACTAGAGATTCATTTGAGCAGTTATCAGTACTAAAAAAGATGGAAGCGAACCTTTCCTGAATAGTTTTAGAATGATGTTGAATTGTATCAGAGCACACAGACTAGTATACACACATGGACCACTGAGGATTACACACATATAAGACACATGGGAATAGAAAAGAAAGTACTACCATTTAATGTTGAAAATCTAATCCTAGTGTTTGTGTTAATCATCCTGGTATCGGAATCAGTACTGAGTATCGAGTCTATTCTTTAGGATCATGACAACACTATTTCACACAATAATAATAATAATAATAATAATAATAATAATAATAATAATAATGATACTGCCTTATACTTGTAATCCTCTTTACAGTTTTGTGAAAGCGTCTCATACCGCTGCACGGTTTTCATTATTCTTTCTTTCACACCGGGAAGACAAGGAAGCAAGACTATCAATCTGCGGCATCGGCCCCTCCGACCACCACCAATCATTCACGCACACACCACTTTCATACTAGGCAGTACGGGTGAAGTAATCCAATGAGGTTCTTTTGGTCGTCCGATAATTTATGTTATTAGGTTCTTTTTCAGTTTGTTTTCGTACCTGACAGTTTGGACTGTTCACTAGCGCTCTTCTTCAGAGTGGGGACGTGATGTTGATATGAGGGTTAAAAAAAAAAAAAAGCCCCCTTGGAAACGTGCCCATGGGACTATAAACCGGGATGAGGGGCTTTTTTACTCTCACACACCTGGGATACTGTCCTGAGGAAGTGGGACTGCAGGTGGCGCTGTCGTCTTGCCTCCATCGGTAGGAAGACAGCGCCAGAACCTGTTTAAATCAGCTGACCAGACACGACACAGAAACATCATGAGATTCTGACGAAGAGCATGGGGAGCAGAACTGTCAGGGATGAAAACTCTTGGTCTGAATAAAGAACTTAATAAGATAAATATGGGAGAAGTGTCTAGCCTAAGGACACAGCAACAGAATTTGGTCCGAGCGGGAACCAATCCTCGAACCTTTCGGCTGGGGAACTACTGTTCTAACCACTGTTGCTCTGTATCACTGACAAAGATTTTGTTAAGTCATAGTATGATCAAACAAAAGTGTAGAGTCGTAGTACTTGGTCTGAAGACCAGCCTCCAGACCATTTTTTTTTACAGTCTTGTCTCATCTCAAACTCTGCTTTGAGACAGCGTTAGACTCGGTCTTGTCTCGGTGTTGGTGGCGCTTGGACTCGGTGTTGTCTCGCAATTGAGGTCTGACTATCGGGTGTGATCATATTTCATTATGGCCGCTGCTGTCGGCAATAAACTTCTTACCACGACATGTGGCTAAAGTTTGCCTAATAAAAGTGCACAAATGTGTGTGTATTTGTCACGACGTGCGTTTGATAAATGTGCAGAGGTAAATCCCACTGCAAAACC